TGACTGGAGAAATGGGTAGATGATAGAACCAAATCTATGTCACAAAGTAAGAATTTTACCACATAGGGCAAATAAACAAGACCATTTTCCTTCAATTCACCCGGGTAGGTGTATTAGGCTGCACCGAAATAATGCAAACAACAAGCTAACCATCGTAATTCTCCCAGCTCCCTAGGATAGTACGTAAAATCGGATGTTTTGGGAATGCATTAGGATGAAGACCACGCAAGCGGATTATCGTTTTTGATAAGTGGAAACTTACGCCAACTTAATCTTACTTTCAGACGCGTGAGTCTCATACCGGATCTTAAAATGGCTGGAGTTATCGTGAAGCAATTACTTTTCTTAAATAGACCACAAGTGGGTAGCAGAATTGATGAGATTTCAAAAAATGTTTTCTTATACTATGTAAACGTTTGAAATAGACATTCCCAATAACCCGACTAAAAATCTAACTGTACAGTGTCCTTTGCACCTCGATGGGCTTATTTCCATGTCTATGATTTTTCATTCCTTCCATTGAAAAGACAAAAAACCCCTTATTCTTTTACCTGATACAAAGTCAAAGCATCAGAGAAGCCATGTAGTCTACAGCTTCGGTGAAACTCTGCACTCAAACAATAAACCATACTTCTGTGCCTGTAACCTATTGTGGCATTAAAAAAAACCTAGAACCCTACGTTTCCTAGGTTGACAGTATCACGGCTCCAGAATAAACGAATAATGAAAATGAATAGTAAAGCACTTCACAATTTTAAATCCACAGGTTTCTACTAACTGATAATAAGAGTGTTGCGTAAGAAGCAGAAAACCATGATGTGAAACAATATGTGGAAGGAGGCAAGTAAAAAGCAGATTCTTCAAGTTTGTTTTAAACAGCATAACTCTCTCACTAGAATCCACGCAAAGGGAGACAATAATAAAAAATGCGACGATTCCTAGCATAACTGAAACGATTGGTGTGTTTGATCAGAAAGCCTGCTGTATAAGGGTTATAGTGATGTCGTCAGACTCGCCTGTGCTCATTGGTCCAGCCTGCCTGACCTTTTTTACTGGAGATTGATGCCTTAAATGTGGATGCAGTATAGCATCAGATGAAGACTTACCTTTGATGTCAAAACTTTAAAGAGCTCTAAATTGAAGTTTGATTTCAAATTCTAATACAATCGCCGGTTGCATCGTACTCCAGGGAGTTGCGTAGGGAAGAAAGAGGATAGTTATTTTGTACCCCAGTATTGTTCAAGTCACCAAATGATGTTGTGCAGCATGGACGGAATTAAGTATTTGCCATGGGCTTCTTAAAGTGAGTTTTACTCACTGAGGCTGGCACTAACACAATGTCATTATTTCCCCATAAGACACTGCCTTACCATCACCAATCCTATTGAAACGCTGTGTCGCCAGCAGGAAACGGCTCAATACCGTTTCTCTTTCACTAGTCGTTTCGCAGTTTCCAACTCCCTGGTCTGATTTCATGCTACTGTCATTAAGTCAATATGAGACAAAATGAGGATATCGATGAGGACAAGTTGCTGTTTCTGGTCCTCCCCCCATTATATGTATGGAGAAACTCTCACGGAGAGGTTGTTCGTGCAGCTGCCTGGGGTGGAGATGCATTGCTCCCTATTGTGGAAAAACAGGGCCTTTCTTCATCCCAGGGATTGATATCACTAGTTCTGCTTCATTTCTATTCTCATTCAGAAGTCTGCCTTATGCAAATCCCAGTTGCATTACATTCCATCTTTTTGTACCGTATGATATCGTGTCTAGTAGACTACTCTCAGCCACAATTGTTCGGTCAGCAACTGGGTGGATGAACGCAGCCAAAAATTTCATCTACATTCCACCAATTACCATCCAAGCTCAATCTTGCAAGTATAAATGATTACGAGTAGCACCAGCGTGTACCAATCTTTTGTAAAGGTAAGGGCTATATGATCTATTTGCAGATCTGCCAAGTCTCTTGCTATTCAAGTAACATGCTATTGTTGTGGAGCCCTCTTTCCCTACTTATGCTATCAAAGCTGCCACCGTGCTCTGAATAAATTCAAAGACTAATCCAAGGAAAATGTGAATTTTATAGCTCTCAAGTAGAATTTAAAATCTACAGAGTCCTTAACAAGCATGTATTTTTATTTCTAAACCAGGAATTTATTGTTTTCGTAGCATAAACAAGTGAATATGTTATAATTACTGAAGTATCCTTGCAAATATTTTTCTCGAAAATGAACTCTTCTCAATGTTGTACCCTTATTACGTGAAAATAAAACCCCTAAGTTTACATTTCGCCATTGGTGGGAGCTTATTGCCTCTTGGAGAAGGTGGTCAGTTAACTCATTCAGGGATTATCATTTGGACAGACGTTAGGGGATAGGGGATGAGAAAAACAGCCGTTGCCTTCACAATTCAAAGTGTATCCGGTATCTTACAATCTCATTTTGAAACAGTCAAGCTAATTTTTGTGATAGAAGGCTGTCGGCAGAGGTTCATCATAAGCTTTGGCATTAGGATCACTTGTTTGAACAAAGTTGTCTCTAAACCTACATTGTGCTCTGTCTGCGGAATTCCAAGGATGAAAGGGAATTTTTTATGTTGGTATTACAAAAATAAACTTTCGGTTGACTTGATGACAACCACAAAAATTGGATGCTACCATTTGCTACCCAAAAGAAGTACATAGATCTGGCCTATTAGCCTCCAGGTAATCAGACGTAGTCCTCAAAATTTTTTTGCATTTTCTCTATTTTCCTCGCGAAAATATTTGGATAGATCATCTCATAGATCCTTTGAACTAATTCTTTTTTGATCTAAGCAAAAATTTTTCTCCAGACACTTTATTGCAAAATCATCTAAAGTAAGGTTAATCTCACATCACGCTGTAATCATATGCAGATTGGTGCGATACCTCTAAAGGTCGTCTTGGCGTAAACAAGAGTTGCTAAACAATTTCTCCTTTACAGAGTTGTCTACCTTTCTCTCATTTGTCAATGAAAAGGTCACCTCTCTGTGAAGTGAACTTAGCAATTTTATTCAAGGAAGGCATCAGTTAATGCCAAATTAATCACTAGAGGTTAATCGTTTGACACCACGTAATGCGCAGCCCCACTCTGGGATTGTGAGTCCAGTAGCCTACAGGTTTTATGATGATTGTTGTACATACAAGGCAATCTCATATTCTAAGCAAAGTAAGTCGGTGCATGTGAGTGAGCAATAGATGGAAATTGCATTTACCTTCCACATAATCCACTGTTGCATTTATTGCATCCAATTTTATCGTGATACTGAGAATGAAGTCGAATAAACCAACATGGGTTTATCATACACGTGAGTTGAATGTACCAGTACCAATTCTGCGGCTTGCTGCAGTGTGCATATGGTGCGGAGAGCAATGCATGTACGTTCATTATCTCGAAGTGATGAGTAGCATAAATCAGAGCGTATTTTTATGCATTAGGTCCTGAAGCATACGGCGATCAGGTCTTAATCTTTCATTTAAAAGGGTCTGCATTTGTATTCTCCTCATTTTTTGTAGACTGCCTGGGAAACTTAGTTTTCAACTCAAATGTTTGCTCAGCATCATTTGATGCGGGTGATTTAAATGTCAAAATTGTGTCTTTCCTATATAAGTGCTCCTGGCTGTGCCTCGGAACGTGGGCCTTCAATCCACCTAGCACAACACTGTGTTGCAACATACTCCTAAGTAAAGCAATTTCCACAAAGCCTTGTCACCAATGCAAACAACAAGCTAACCATCGTAATTCTCCCAGCTCCCTAGGATAGTACGTAAAATCGGATGTTTTGG